TGTATATATATATATATATATTTTCCCATCAGTATGCTTGTTCACCATAGGCCATGTCTTTTACAGGCATGGTCAGTGTGGGCTTCAGTCAAATTCATGGCTGTTTTTCATGACAGAGTAGATGCTGCTTCTGGCAGCAGTTTAATGATGGACAATGTATTTAATGAAGAGCTTTTCCTGTATGCAAATATAAGCTGAGGGGCTTTTTGCCCCATGCTGACTGGGAGCAGGGGGCACCTCACCTTATAGTCGAGTAAATATGGTAATCAAAATACAGTAAAATACATTGGTTAATAATACAGTCTTGGAGCAACTCAGAAAAATACAGCAGAATTGCCATTATCTTTAACAGTAGGTTACAAATGTAAATAAATAATTACAGCTCAATTTTGTGAATATTTAAGCATATGATTTTGCTTTGGTGTTTTTATGTAGAAGCAAAACCTGTATTCATGTAAATTAAGAACGAAGGGCTACGGGAGAACTTTAATTTTGACCTAACTCACATCACACATATTTAAACATACAGCAATAAAATGCCTTTGTAAAAGCTGAATAGAAAAAAATAATAATCTTACTACTTTAACCGGTGCTGTGTTTTGGTTTTTTACTTGAAATGCAATTCTCTGAACAGTAACTATTAAAAATATCAAGGTGGGTTCTGTGTTATTGTATCTCAATAACTTTCATTTTATAAATTAAAAAAATGTTTTCACTTCCTGCCAACCCTGCAAGCAGTCTATAATCTGAAAGACAAGGTGAATGCTTTTTGGTCTACACATCATCAGAATTAAAGATTCCTCCGGCCAAACTATTCTCTCCATTACAAATGCACAACCCCATTGCCCTCACTTCGTGGTTCAAACACAGCTGAGTACATTTGTAATTTACTTAACAAGTATAATGTGTGTGAACAAGCACATGTGGTGAACTCTCACAATCCTGTAGCTGTACTGACTGACTCTACATAGCTAGCAGGAATGCAAAGCAGTAAAAATTTATATATAGCACTTGATTAACTAGTTGTACTCAAATACCTCAGAGGAGCAACTCTGAGCAAAAGGTACTGTTTTTACAGGCACTTTTCACATCAGAACCACACTTTGAAACCACATCAGAACCACACCACATACTATGCTTATAAAATGAAATTCTATAAAAAAGCTTCTGAACTATAAAGTGATGCAATGCATTACCATTTTTATCCATGGAATGAGGTTCAGACTGTTTCTTGCCAATATCAGCAAAGGATCTGACAATTGGAATCCTGTTGCTTAGCTTTTTCTGATTCTGGTGATGGTGTTGCTTAAGGAAAGCTTCGTGTACTCTGTGACGAACATCCTCACTGAGCTGCCCTGAGCCCACTTGTTGGTCAAGAATCATATCTGAAAAACATGTACATAATTCAATAAAAAGAGAGGGGAGATTATTAACAGCAATTATGATGCCAGATCAAACTACAACAGAAGGTCAGAGGCCTGCATTCCTTACTCATTCACTGACTTCAAGAAAAAGAGATAGGAAATGACAATATCCACAGAAAAATGTTATAAAATATTATTAAAGTTACAAAGCCAAGCACTCAAAAGTTAGGCAATGCCAGATTTAAGGTGGCCTGTGGAACCTTAAATTAGTATCCGTGTTCACAATCATTTTCTGGTACCTGACTTATGCACAGTGTGAACCGTCTTTAATTATATACTCACATGCTATTTTTTCCTCAGGGCTTCTGCCTCATTCAGTATTCAGTGCACAGGACGGTCTTGTTACGGGGATAAAACAAAGTCACGTAATGAAGAAGACTGTTGCCAGCAGGACTCTTTTTTCATTTGTTGCAGAATTGGTAGGTGTGTGGTAATGAGGTAGGGAATTACAGGAAGAGAAAGGATGCTTTCATGGCTAAGGCAGATGACTGAGAAAATTATACTGTAAGTCTGCTTCTGCCACAGTGACCCTATGTGACATTGGCCAAGTCAATTAAACACAACTTTTTTTTACAGGTGGTCACTAATTGAATGTTACTCATTATCTAGGTGCCAGATTTGAGGCCCTGAAATCTCAGTTGCAGAACTGAGTAGCACTTGCAGCTATAGATGACATCATTGTGAGTTGGCTTTAAACACAGAGTGCTAAATAATGCTAAGTATTATGAAAAATTAGGTTCTACATGTCTTAAATTGTGCATCCAAGATCAGTGAATAATTTTGACCTTAAGTTCTCTGTACTATAACTAATGGTAACAGGAGTGATAACATCACCCACTCACCTCACATTAACATTATGAAAGCATTCATATACTGCAGTGATGAGTATAACAGAAAAGACCTCCAGGAAATCACTTATTCATTGTCACAGGAGACAGGAAACAGTAGCATGCACCAAGTAAGAGATCACAATGGGTCCAGAGGTATAAACTGAAGCCTCAATCTTGATGTGTACCCAAAGTCACCTGCAGTGGGTCTGGTTGTAAATAGGTCATTCCAGGTACAGTATCAGAGGCAGGTGGACACAAAATTGGGCACATTACAAGGGACATCTCCACCGAACATGTGCAAACTGCAATTTTTTGAAGGCTCATGTTTGACCATACTTGCATATATGGCATCTGACACATAGACCATGACTGTACCAAATATCAAGACTTTCTAAAAGAAAAGCTTGCCAGAATTGTTTAACAAGGGTAAATAGTCTATTTTCTCTAGCCTCATTCTCAAAAAAAGCTGAAATGTTTTGGTTGAAAATTTTCAAAAAATTATCTAAATTTATCAAAACCAAAACCCTGCATGGAAAATTCTACTAAAATTATTCATAACTGTTTGTAATTGTAAGTAGCTGAAAAGATGGGGTTATAATGGAGTGTTGAATGGCTTGAATATATACAGTGCTACCAGCTTTGCCTTTAACAACAATCAGCCCCATACTGCACTCCATTAAGACATGTCATCCACTGAAGTCAATGGCTGTTTTCCTTCAGGCCCAGTAAAACACTGTCCAGTACATGATCTGAGAAGAACACACACTGGATTCTACCATCAGTCTTCTACCTAGTGCTATCCTGGTAATCAATAGCAGCACTAACTGAAAAACTCTCACAATATTTTTTGTTGGAATAGGCCAATTCATTTAAATTTAAATATTCCATAGAAATACATAAATTTCACTAAAGTTACAACAGAAATCAGACATGTATCCTGCCAGTTTACTTGTCTAGCTCCTTGGCAGCAGAAACCCTGGGGTTGCTGTCTTCCCAGGCTCCCTCCTGCCTGGGAAAGGTGGCAGTGCCAGGCCCTGTACAGCTCATGGAGCCTTGAAAATATTTTATGAAGGTAAAAGTAAGGTGGGGGTTAAATGTCATTTTTGCTTACTGAAAATAGCTATCTCAAGAAAAGCTGCAGACATACCCTGCCTACATCAGTGTAAGTATGCCTGTGGAGTTTTACCTCTGATTCTTTCTAAGATAACTGTACACCAGATTAAGCAGCATTACCCTAGTATAAAGATTTATGTTGTCCAACCTTTTTCATACCAGTGCAAACATGTCATCCGTCCAGGTTCTGAATAAAGTAAGTGCATATGCAGTTGTCAGAAGAAAAAGACTCAGTATGAAATCTGCTAATACAAATTATTAATATGGATCAAGTATTCAAAATGGAAAAGAAGTTGTCAAATTGATGTTTTCTTTAATTCAGAGAAAATCCTGCTTGCAACCAGTAAAAAACCCAGGGGAAAATAAAAAAGAAGGAAGTCAAACAGCAGAGATTTAGCACAAAATGTTCTATCACATCCATTAGGAGAAACTGAGCCGCGCAGAAGTGGTGATATAATGAGCTGAGTCAGAAATTTTGGTGCTAAAAATTCAGACAACTCATAAGTCTGAACCTTCAAGACAGGTTCAAATGTATCAGCAAAATTCAGTAGGGAAACAGGCAGAGCAGAAAAAATAAATAAGTAGAATATGTCATAATGAGAGAGAAATGATCAAATTGTTGATAATTGCCAAAAGCAAAAAAAAAAAAAGAAAAATCCCCAAGAGTATTATGTGAAAAGCACAGTGAAACAACAAAAATTAGTGATAGAATATAGATAGATATGCACACATGCACACAGCGTTTTTCTCTCTAATGCTCACAGTTGCAGAAAGAAAATGAAAGAAAATATTACTGGGGTTATGATTATAGTACGATTATTTCCATAGTATCTGAAAGTGCATTAAGAACTTTGCACACATTAAGTAAAGTACTGCCTTACACAGAACAGTGTACAAAGACAGAGAAGTAAGACTATACATAGTGATTTTTACAACAATTTAGTAAAAAGTAGATAAACATGAAAGATAAAAATGGCTCTAAAAAGGGGAGAAAGAGAGATCTGCATTATAAATATGAATTTTGGTTGAACTAAAAGAAATCTAAGAAGGATCTGAGAATGCCAGATAAGACATTATAGAAAGTAAGGACCAGGGGGGTGGGGAATTGTTTGGCATTTCTGTAGTAGGAAAATATGGGAGGATGTGGGGTAAAGAAAAGTCAATATCAAAATCCTCATGAAAAATCAAAATCCTCATGAAAAAATGTGTTTACTACTCATTCTGTTGCCAGTTCAGGGAGAGCCTCTGCTCAAAGGATGAGGACCCCCTTTCATTTAGCCAAGCTTAGTGCATAGTCGTACATGTCACCGCTCCAGAAATGACTTAAGATGGTACTGTGACAGAAGTTATAACATAGAGATCTCCCTAACAAGTGACCAAAGGAATTGGGGATTGGGAGCTGGTCATGTATTGATGGAGTAGCTGCTAGTTAGAGAGAGAGAAGAATCTGTAGTGGTTGCCTACTTCTTATTCAAGTAAGCCACTGTTTACTGAACCCGGTGATCATTACAGCTAGTGCCCAGCTCCACTGCAGCATGAAAGATTTTGTTTGATGATGGCAAGGTCTTTGTACACAAATAAAATTGAAAGTTATTTTTTCTCACTTTTCTCCCCCCTTAGTCAAGAGATGGTTTGATAAGATACAGCCATAGATTCTGCCTTCTTTAATATTGCTCTAAGAAAGGCAGAAATCAAACTAGGGAAACAGGAGAGGGAGCCCTCAACACCTTGCAGATTTAAGATGGCAACTGGTCATCAGCCTGCCTGGTGGTTAGTGGAATCCAACACGTCACCAGCATATCTACAATACTTCCTGTATTACAAATTCAGAATGCAGAGTGCATTATGGTGCATTTAAGCACTAAGAAAGGTCTCAATATATAAGGACATTTCCATTTCAGATCAAAATATAGGGAAGAGGTGTAAAATCCTGTTCCCACAACTCTGGCTGCTTTGTTTCCACAGACCTGCAATCTGTTTCTGTTAGAGAGGCAAGACTGCAGAAAAGTAGGCAAAATGACTTCAAGACACTGTCGGTACCCTGACCACTGACACTGGTATCTGTCCCATGTTTGCAGGGTATGGCAGGCAGTTAGTTAGTTAGCATGCAGATGAAGTGACTACAGTAATATGCTCTGGCAGAAGAGAAGGAGATCACCATTTTACCACTACTTCTCTATAGTTTTATTTTTTTTCTGTAAATCTCCAATTGCTAGAATCATGAGAACCTCTGTTCTAATAGTGCCCATCCTGATTGCAGAAACAAACTTGGAAATATGAAGCAAATGTACCATTAAGTTTCAAAAGGCAAACAGAAAGACTGTTTTTAAATCTCATTTTCAAGGCAATCTGATTACTTTTCGGGCCTAATTCATGATTTTGTAGGGGTTACAAATTCTTCGTTGCTCCTGTCACTGAGTTGCAGCAGTGGAAGTGCAAAGACAGAAGATACCCCTGAATATCTAATGTAGAATGAACCCCGTGACTCTTTCCCTAACCTCCACATCTTTTTCAACAATCCATAAAATCTTTTAGAAACCTGTTCTACATATAGTCTTGCCATCTCAGGTCCTTCTTACTTAAATCTTGAGCTGGTTGTCACCAAAGCAAGAGAATCTCTTAACCAGGACATAGGATGCAGGAGTTTTCTGATTCAACAATGGTCTTTCTCCTATCTTGGTGAGACAGTCAGCAATCCTTCAGCATCTTGGATGAACAATTTCAGAATCTTCCAGAACACTACAAGGTGAAGATCTCTCACAGAAGCCAAAGGGCAGTTTGAAACAGTCATAATGAAACCCTTATTTTTGGTCTCAAAGTTGATCACCAAAAAAATCAGGGAGTCAAATTTTGTATTTGATTGTACTAATATAAACTTGGGATAAATTGAGAAGTTTTACTAAAGATGCACTCAGTTGACCAATCGGCTAGTTACTAACCACTCCAATGTTCAGTTAAAATCCAATAGATGCTTAGGGCTAAACTGGGCCCATCCTGTATTCTAACGAGAAAACGAAA